ATTGGTTTAAAATCAACTGTGATGTAGCTTTTATGAAGCACTCTCATAATGGAGCGATGGGAATTGTAATATGGGATGACAAAGGTATGTTATTAACAAGGCAAGCAAAAAAAATTACGCTACAACCCCCTTGTAGTAGAGGCGCTAGCTATTAGGGAAGCTATAGTTTTGGCAGCCAATCTGGGTTTGAGTAGGGTCTTACTGGAAACAGATTGTTTAGATCTTATTATAGCCTGTAGGAAGGAAAAGGTTTTTTGGGAGATTGATGGTATTGTGAGAGATATACACAACCTTGCGCACAGTTGTTCCTTAGTTGAGTTTCAGTGGACCTGTAGAGAAGCTCATATGTTAGAGCATGAGGTTGCAAGGTTGACAACGTCAGATTCTCTGCCTTTGAATTGGTTGTCTTTTTGCCCTACAAGTATATTGAGGATTTGTCTTTAGGATAAGCCATGTTAACATCCAATTAGATTAGTTTGCTTGTCTTCTAGTCTATGACTGTCATATGTATGTTGTTTTCTCATATGTATGCCTTGTTTTTTAAGGAATAGATACTTCATTCTGACCAAAAAAAAGAAAAAAGAAAAAAAAATCATCTTGTAATAAAATGACAATTCAGGTGATGGCATTGAAACAAGAATAATAGAAAGCTTAAATTAAAAAGACATTTTAGTCCTCGAAGTTTTGAAATTGTAAAAGTATTACTTAGTTCTCAAATTTTAACACATGACATTTTAATCCGAAACTTTTCAAAATATATACTTACCTCAAAACTAATAGATGTTACAAAAAACTAAATAATGAAAGGGCAAAATTGGCACTCCTCTTAACCCGTCTATATTCACTGGTCTCCATCTCACAAATTTCTTAAAATTTATAACTCTAATGACCTAGAAAAAAAAGATAATTATAATCTTTTTACTTTTTGTTTTACTTATTTTTATTGTAATGATAATAAGAACGTTCGGCGGTGGTGATTGGCCGACTGCCCTCTTGGGTGGTTGGGGTGCTTTAGTTAATTTTTAAACTTTTATTGTAGGGGTCTTTAGTAAATTAGCAAATGTAGGGGGTTAAAAATTATCTAAAATAATAATAATATTAAAATAGAAGGGCAATTCAGTAATCTACATAACATACCCACCAATTTATTCCTCCCAACTAAACATATAAATATAACATACCTACCAATTTATTCCAACCTAACCAAACACATTTCCCTAAATATTCTCAGTAATCTTCAAAGTAATCTATCTTCTCATTAATATAATATTCTTAGTAATACAACATTTCCTAAACCAAATGCACTCTAAGAGTCTTATGAAATTATTCAACATAACCCTAAAAGGCCAGGTGACACTTGCTCATAACCTCATACTAAACTTTTAGAAGAGCTTTACGTGTCAATTGGAGTAAGAGACCCACTTAGACAAAAAAGTATGGTCGTGGGACCAGTGAGGAGAGGAGTTGGTTTTAGAGGTAGGCAAAAAGCTCGAGCCCAGTCTTAGGACCAGCTCGGGCCTTGGAGAAGGGTGATCGGGCCTAGGCTGATCCCTTCTCCAAGGCCCAAGCCCGATTAATTTCAGAACTTGTTCTATACATGCTTGCACATTTGTTAGGCCTGCATAGGACCGGTCTCAAGCCTAGGACCGGCCTGGGCTAGGACCGGCCTGGGCCCTCATAAAAGTGATAGACCCAAGACCGGTCCCAGCCAATTTGGACTGGCCCAAGCGCCCACCTCTAGTTGGTTTGATCATTGGAAGTAAAAAATTAAAACCATCCTTGATTTACTAAATGTATCCCATCACACAAAAGTCCACAGGTCTAAATTGAGGAAGAACACACCGTCCAATTCATTCACAACCTAGAATCTTGTGAAGCAGAAACATTCTTCTCCCATTCAGAAGAGTTAAATAATTTATTTGTATTCTAAACTATATAAACTTTTGTGAGAAAAACCATTAACTTGAGGATCAAAGAAGACACACCAGCAAGCAGTTCTGCGAGCCCCTTTTTAACCTCGATTACTCTTTTGTAGACAACGAAGCCCATAGTTCCCCAACATCCAAGCTTTTATTCACTCAAGCCCAAGCCCACAATTCATAGTTGCCCATCTTGGCCCAATTGTTGTGGACTAGGCCTAATGGAACACTATTGTCAACAAAAGGTATTTTAATTTTTGACATGATTTTTGTTTGTGTGAAAAATCATCCAAGAGAATTCTTGTTGCTTGAACAATCAAACTTACCTAAACCCATAGATTCATCCAACACCTACGATAAGTAAAATTTCGATACTCAAACTAGATATTAGATCAAGATTAATAATAATTAATAATTGAGGAGAGATTAAGTGTGTAGTGTTAGGTTACCCTTAAATTGGCCCCTAGTGGGGATTTATATAGCTTGAGCCTTCATAAAATGGGGAAACTTTTCAAGGTCACATGCCATGATTTTGGCAACATTATTGGCCTGAATATGGTGGATGTTGCTCAACGTTTTTGCTAAGATAATGAGAAGTAGGGGAGAAAACGGTCTCCTACTTTTAGGTAGTAGGATAAGTGTTTGAGTCTTAATTTAGTTGGGATATGCTTAATATGGGAAATGCTAAAGGTACAAAGACTCTTACAAAGAGTGTAAGAGTCTTTGTACAAAGTGATGTGGCATCTAACACACCACTAGTTTCACATCAATCTTCTCTTTCTTTTCACAAACTAGTGGTGTGACAGCTATCACATCATTTTGTACAAAGACTCTTTGTAGGAGTCTTTGTACATCTAGCATTTCTCGCTTGATATATGTTCTCTCATTGTGCCACATGTCATGCCAGTCAACAACTTACTGTAGCTTATGTTGGGCCGACTTTCTGGATTTTGGGCTCTCAACTTGGTCTAGCCCATTTGTCATATTTTATTCATTCTAGACCCTCTTATATTTTATTCATTATTCTAAAAAATATAGGTTGAAATGTCTTTTTTTTTTTTTTTTAAACTTGAAGACTAACTTGATACTTTTATCAAACTCTTTTAATCAATGTTTTGAAAACTAGATCGGACCGGCTGGTCGGACCGGGAACCGGTAGCCTCTCCTGTCTAGTTCAAGTTCTGGGGGGGTTTTGTTAGATTTTTAACTTATACGAGTTAATTCATAATTTTCTAGGGATATTTTACATTATTTCAAACTTTTAGGGATTAATTCATAAATTTTTTGGTTTTTTTTAAAATATATTAAATTTTAGGGACCAATTCAGAATTTTTTGTGGTATTTTTATAATATATTAAAATTTAAAGGATTAATTTACAATTTTTGCCAATCCGATCAATCAAACGATCAAACCGTGAACTGAACCCTTGACCAGGTGTGGTTTTCTAAACATTGCTTTTAATTCTTAAAAAGCTTGAATTCGAGGATATGGATATGGGTTGGGTCACAAATTGATATAGCATATTCAATTCTTATCTCATATACATGACATGACATGCCCAATTATTCCAATTTTATATTATGTCATGCTAATGATAATTACATCCATTACCCAATTCATATTTTTATGAAAAAAGTGCATGCCGTCCCTTCTTAATTCCTTTCATATTAATTATTCTTCATTCTAGATCCATCAACCTACATATTGCTCCCATCATCATCATTATCATTTCTTTTAGATTTCATTATAAATATATTATACAACTAATCTTTCAAGTGATCTCACATCCATAAACTGCTACGATATTAATATCTTTTTCAAGAGTTATTATTGTTACTGTTCTAAGTCCAGTACACAAAAATTTGGGCATGGCATCAATTAAAATGCTAATATGGATGTGGTCAAACTTGCTTGACATGCATGGACCAAATTGTTTGACAAAAAAAGTAATGGATTTGAGGGGAGATGGGCCTCTTCAAGGAGCTTGATTTTCAACACATTTAGTCACAATGTCCAATATCAACATGGAAGTTTTGTCCAGATGAAAAATGTGAGGTTAAATACAAGAAAAATTTACTAAAAATCAATGGTCCATTACCTTTTTTTTTTCCGAATGGTGAGACAATTACGTGATAATACCAAAACTTCAGACCGGTTTAAGTTACTGTCAGTTTTGTAGTAATTTAAGAATTTAGATGTTGTCATGATCACAACAAAGCTGTGTCCTGTTCGTTTCATTCTTCATCACTTCCAGGTCTGTGCCACTCAATTTTTCTCAATCTTTGATAATTTTTTTGTTGGTGGGGTGATGCTATAATTTTATCATGCAATAAGACTATTTTTAAATTCAAGAAGGGTGGCTTTCATTTTGGTTGGTTTCTTGGTTGATAATTCATTCTTTTTTCCTTAAATATTATGTCATCTGAGGATTTTAATTTCTGGGTTGGTGTTTTTTTCTTGCGGTCTTTAGAATTTTTGTTGTCTTTCTGAATTTTGTTACTGGGTATTTGTGAGGACTGCTGAAAACTGGGCAAGATGAAGATGATGTTCGAGTAGCTTTTCGAGATTGCATCTTTATTATGTTGATTTGGTACAGTTTGTGGTTGATATTCTTTGTTAAGTAAAACTGGTTTCATGGTTTTGTGTAGAATGTTCTTCGTTTGCTACAGTCTGGTGTTTATGATTTTGTTGGTTGCAGCAATCCTTTTATCTCTTTTTATTTTCCTAAAATTTTGTTACTCTTTGGAAGATGGCTGGGTTTCTTTGAATAGGAAGTCTGAGATTTGAAAATTCAAATTTTTGAACTCTTTAGATGTTCAAAATTATAAATTTTCTTGATCTGTTTTGGCAAAATAGAAGTCTCAGAGTATATTTGTGGATGGTTTATGGAAATTGTTTATTTTGGACAACAGACTTGTGTGTACTTTCTATCTGCAGTTTTGAACTGTTGACAGTAACAGTTGACGATGATAAACATTTTCCCGTTTTATTTGGGTTTTTTTATTTTTATATTAATTTTGATTTGGAAATAATGAAACTCTGGCACTGATGTTGGGATTTTTCAGTTTTAAAGTTGGCAGAGTTTTGGAATGACGAAGCTCAGGAATGGGAGCTCAGTGGAGGTATTAAGAAGAGAACATGATCCAGGTGGCTCTTGGTTTCCTGGAACTATAATTTCAGCATCTAGAAATCACTATGTTGTTAAGTACAAATTCCTTGTGAACCACAAAAGAGAGCCAGTTTTGGAGAAGGTTCATGTGGAGGATGTTAGGCCTCAGCCACCGCATGAGACTGGGAAAAGATGGATGGTCAGTGATATAGCTGAGGTGTTTGATTCTCAATGTTGGAGGGTAGGCAAAGTTGCAAAGGCGTTGAGGAAGAACTGGTTTGTCATTAGGTTATTTGGGTCCATTCAACTTAAAGAATTTCATGAATGTAACATGAGAATTCGACAGTCTTGGCATAATAACAAGTGGTCAGTCATTGGGAAGGTAAAGTCATGTTATCTTCTTCATTCAATTTGGTTTCATATTCAGCTTCAAGAGTTGGTTATTATCGTGTTTATGGTCGGTTTGTCCTTAGTTTCATGCTTCAACTATTTATTCTTGTGGTTTCCTTTCTGTACTTATGACTTGAAATCCATTTGTGCATACAATATAGGATTGGTTTAGTTGTTCTATCTAATGAAAAACTTGATAATTGTTCTTGATGAAAATCAAAATGACCTTACAACTTGTCCTCAAGTTTTTGCAAATAGGGTGGCATTTGGTCAATGGACCTTTTCTATNAAAAAAAAAAAAAAAAAAAAAAAGTAAGTTGTAGGGATTTCAATTTTTCAATAACCGACTATTGATGCCCACTTTTGTTAAGGAGGCCCACAGAAGCCTAAGGCAATTTCAAGACAACTTCACATTCTAACAAGGTATGTTGGGCTTCACATAAAGGTAAAGGTTTGTTTTCTTAACTCTATTTTGGAGACCTTTTCATGGGGCATTTTTGGTGGTTTCTGGTGGGATAGAATAAAGTGTCCACTTGGAGCATTCTAATTGGATACTTTAGTCTTTATAAGCAACGAAAGTTGATCTAAAAGTGCAAGTCCAAATTGTTTTCAAGTTAATTTTCTAAATCATTATTAAAAAAAAAAAAAAAAATTGTGTAAATACATATTTGTTCATACATTTAGGCATAAAATTTTACATTTTCCAGGTTTGAGTAATGCTATCTACACTAACCAAATCTTATTAACCCTTATACTAACTGACATGGCAGATGCCACCTCACTTAATTGCCACGTCAGTTCCCCTAAAAAAAAAACAAATTTCAAAATTTTAATTGCCTCCCCTAAATGTATGAAAAATCTCTCAAAATAGTAACCATAAACCACTAGCCATATATCCTCTTCCACCACTAGTGTCGGCCACCGTCTTCCACTACCAACGCCAGCCGCCGTCGTATACCAACAACACTAACCACCGTCTTCCACCAGCACTAGTCATTTTTCATTCACTTAAATTAGAAACCATAAATGATGGAAATGCAAAATGTCATATTTACCCCCCTTAATGTTTAGTCTTTTATACGTATTTTTTGCTTAATTGTACTTATTATTATTTTATTTTGATTTAGGATGCAAATGGAGGCGTTAATTGCAAAACGGAACTAATTAAGTGAATTCGAACAGTTTCGATGTTGTTTCTTAATCTGGGCATAACTCTCTCATCCGAGCTCCGATTGAGATGATTCAAAATGATGTAGAACGCTAAGAAATATATCTACAAC